TGCAGTCGTCCCTAATTTTGATCTACTGACTAGAGGAAAGGTAACTAGGCAACAACACCCCCCCCCACCCTAAAGAAATAACTGCCACTCTTATGACGCACCTACAGTGCCGAGAATATTTTTTATTTTTGTACGGATTCAGACCCGGGTCGCCATTTCCGAAATCCAAAGCTCTACCACAGCATTGGGGGATCACAAAAATTCAAACCACGCACAGGCACGAGATATCAACCACGTGCAAGCACAAGATATTACGAGATATCAAACCACGTACAAGCACTAGATATTACGGAATGCAAACCCCGAACAATACTCGGGATAGCACGAGATATCAAACCACACGTAAGCACGAGATATACGAGATATGAAACCGCACACGAGCACGTGATATCACGATATGTCAGACCACGCGCAAGCACGAGATATCACGTGACGTTCAGCTTTGCTCTACTATCTGAGATCACCGAATATCAAAGCTCTGTAAGTTTAAAATAACAAACATTGTTGGATATAACGTTAATGCGTTCTGTCTGATCTGAACTTTAAATTCCCACATAATATCTTTCGGCTTTCTAAACTTATTACACTTTTCATGGACCTTTTTATATGATCTTTTATGACCAACATTATCTTGTAAAACATCGTTTTGTCGTTAGAGTTCGGTTTATTGCACGTGTTATTTTAAATCTCTTGGTAGACAGCTAAGTTGTAATGGTGTTTTTAAAAAAAACTTAAGACGTTATTTAAACAAACCGAATTCTTTGTGTAAGGCCTCGTCACACGTCATTAATATTAAAATTACAAGCGATTAAAGTTTGTTTTAAGGTTGTAATTCAATTTTATTACGTAAATAATTTATTCTGAAAACAGAATATAAAAAATAAGGACTCTAAAACATCTACTCAGCTCCTAGCGATCAAGACTTTAAGATAAAGTAAATACAAAAACAGTGGTCTGAAACCTCTAGAGCTCCAGGTCTTATTTCTTAGATCCTAGCGATCAAGACTTAAGATAAAGTAAATACAAAAACAGTGGTGTGAAACCTCTAGAGCTCCAGGTTTTATTTCTTAGATCCTAGCGATCAAGACTTAAGATAAAGTAAATACAAAAACAGTGGTGTGAAACCTCTAGAGCTCCAGGTTTTATTTCTTAGATCCTAGCGATCAAGACTTAAGATAAAGTAAATACAAAAACAGTGGTGTGAAACCTCTGGAGCTCCAGGTTTTAATTCTTAGATCCTAGCGATCAAGACTTAAGATAAAGTAAATACAAAAACAGTGGTGTGAAACCTCTGGAGCTCCAGGTCTTATTTCTCAGCTCCTAGCGATCAAGACTTAAGATAAAATAAATACAAAAACAGTGGTGTGAAACCTCTGGAGCTACAGGTTTTATTTCTCAGCTCCTGGTGATTTTACGACAAGTATTTTACACTAAATACAGTTTTACAGGGGCACACCGATTGCACTATGTCGTAAATACCGGATGCAAAGATAATACCAACATCAAGATTTGAATAGTGAGGGAACATACTTCGTTTCGCCAAGTTTCTTTACTTTTCTGGCGGAAAATATTTCTCATCGAATGCAGTAATCAAATTTAACGTCGTAACTTTCATTGCAGTCTTTCTAAAGAGCACGTCGTGTGTGTTCCATTTGAAGTCTTACAGATAAGACGAGTTTAATATAGCTTGGCCCTCGAGAAAAATATTCGGTAAAGAAATGACAATAAATTAAGAATTATATCTCCAATTTTATAAATATTTAATTTTTTTTGATGCTATAAACTGGTTTCATTCTCTGTAATATTTCACTAACCTACCTCTTTAAACATCTGTCTATCTTTATCTATTATTTTAACACAGATCTGTCTATCCTTATCTATCATTTTAACACTGATCTGTCTATCTTTATCTATTATTTTAACACAGATCTGTCTATCATTATCTATTATTTTAACACAGATCTGTCTATCCTTATCTATTATTTTAACACTGATCTGTCTATCTTTATCTATTATTTTAACACAGATCTGTCTATCATTATCTATCATTTTAACACTGATCTGTCTATCTTTATCTATTATTTTAACACAGATCTGTCTATCATTATCTATTATTATAACACAGATCTGTCTATCTTTATCTATTATTTTAACACAGATCTGTCTATCATTATCTATTATTTTAACACAGATCTGCCTATCATTATCTATTATTTTAACACAGATCTGCCTATCTGTCTTCTCCCTCTTCACATTCGATAGATCGAAGTTACATAGAGCTAAAGTATAAAAGCAAAAAAACAAACTCTAAGTTTGAAAATCGTGGAGAAAAATTTTTTTTTAACCACATTTTGGTCTCCCAGAGGGCTCTAAAGACAGAAATTCATATTGTTCTCAATCTCTGACGCATAAAGATGACAGTAACAAGTCGCTCCTTGTTTGTTTGTTTGTGGCCGAGTTTCCCTTCCTAAGTATTGTTTTTACACAGACTGAACTCAAGCGACGTTAGTGCAACTAATGATAAATAGCCACTCACGTGCTCCGCATCAGCTGAATTTGTTAACATTGTTATTGCTGTCCTTAGAACGATGACGTAATCGCTCTGTTGTTATAAAGTGTTCTAGAACAGGTTAACATTTTCTACATCGTTATTAACCGCGTAGTTAAACTATGATTATATGCGGTCATTTTTAACAGTAACCTTTTGTTCGCTAACCCTACTTTTTTTCTGCTCTCTCAAGGATAATAGTAATTCAGTATCTTAGCGCGCGGATTACATCAGACACTGTCCAATGTATCATTGCTACGAGCGTCTTAAAAAAAAAATATTGTTTTTTTTGTTAAGCACAAAGCTACGCAGTGATCTGTTTGTGTTCTGCTCACCGAGGGTATCGAAACTTCATTTTTTGAGTTATAAGCCGTTATACTTACCGCTGAGCCACTGAGGGGGCGTAAGCTTTGTTAGAAAAGAAAGAAGAGAAACCTGTCACGTGCTGGATCGCTTTGTTTGAACTTAACGTGCTCACCAAACTTCATGCTCTAAATTTAATTTTTTTTTCTCCAGACCTCGGGAAGTTGAAATCAAACTAAAGATATTTCCACAAAGCTACACAAGGGCTATCTGAACTAGTTGTCCGAGATTTTGAGCTACTGACTAGAATTTTGTGTGTGTGTGTGTG